AATTTCCATTAGCTGAAGGTTCTCATGCAAACAAATGGACATACACCTTTTGGACAAGGAACAATGAGAACAGACTAAGTTAACTTCTTAAAGTTCTTTCTTCTTATTACTCTACCCTTCAAAATTCAAGGCCAGAGACACATGTGGAAAAGCAGCAAAATAATTCTCTTTGAAGACAGTATGAAGGTTGCCTGGTCTGACCCAATGGAAGCAAAGGAAGTGGAAGGGAAAGGCTCCTTTTAGTTCCATATAGCACAGACCCACTCACAGGTAATGTACTTGCTAAAGCCAACACACAATTTCTTCACTTACACAACTGCTACATTTACTTGCAAATTTAGAGAAGAAAATGTCAAAAGGTGATTACACATTTCAATGAACAGAAACACCCACATTTCTTTTACTACCTCTCACAAGAAGTATGTGTGTGGGAACACAGTTTACTTAATTCCTAGAAGTCACAGTAGGACTGTGGCTGTCCACAAATTACATCTGACTTACTGAAAAAAGTTCTGAAACTTTGGAACGCATTACTGTATATTTAAAGCTATATTAACAAAGACTGCCTGTACCATAGATTGTAAGGCTAAAACACATGCAGTGCAACTATTACCTTCTATTTTCCTGTGTCCTGGCAGAAATTTGAACTATAAAACAGTAAGTTCCCAATGGTTGTTGAAATCTATGCAGTTGTCCTCAAGTTTCCTCTCAGCAGAACTAAGCTTGCTCACATAGCTCAGTCAATATTCAATGAACTGATCTTTATTCCACCTCTGGAGGAAAAGGCCAAGTCCATGTTGAATGTTCTTTTCCCAAATCTTAATTAAATATTACATGCAAGAACAGAGCAACAATGAAGCCTTCCTAAAAAGGCTTGAAAAGACAGTCACCATCTAAAAAAAGCCAAGGGCCCTGTCTAGGAAACATGCTGTTGGGAGCCAGCACTTACATTCTCTTGATTCTGGCCTATAATTCATGAGCTTTTCCCTTTCTACAAGTGAAAAATTCTGTCTAAAATCAAAAGTTGAAAAGCCATTTTGAAAACAGCTTTTCAGATTCCTATCCTGAGTGTTTGCCTTGTGTAGGTCCACTTTCCACCACATCAAAGGCTCCCCAGCCCCCCTGCTGGAATCACTAAGCATATTGACTTTGAAACATTTTACATCAATTCACCACTGCAGCCCTTGAAGACAGAATGGGTTTCCTCTAATTTTCTAGATCTTCTAATAATTTATTTGCCATGGCAGTACTGATGCTTACACTGGTCTGAATGTCTGGAGTATTTCTTTTTTTGGAGAGGTTTAGTAGCAAACCAAGCATTTTCATCTCCCTAGAAGCTCTGTCCACAGTTACTATTCCATCCATGGGTTGAAAGGTTAACCATTTAGAACAGAGGAGGTTTATGTTTTATAGCAGTTGATAACATTTTAAGAAAGGATGGCAAAGAAGTTTGCGGGAACTATTAGGCTGGAGTGAGTTTATTGGTGAGTAATTTTACAGATAAAACTGCTGCTTAGAAACTCAGCAGAATTGAAATATCTCACAAAAAGGCAGGACTACAATGTCTTATGTGGTTTTTTTTTTTCCAAAGAACTACAGAAAAGCACCAAATGAAAAGCTGAGGGACAAAGCTGAGTGTGGTTACAACATGAATGCTCAGCAAAGGGCAAGAAATCTTGTGGATCTATAGTATTTGGTGCTTAATATGAGGGACTAGTGAAAGGCTAAAGTAACCCTTGCAACCTTCTCCATATATAATGAAATGCAATCCTGTAATTGCATTGAAGAATACAATGACTTGGGATTTCGTCCGAAAAAAAAAGAGGAAACAGGAGTCTCAGTAAGTTCAACAAAGGGCAACGCAGAGTCCTGCAGGCTGGGATTAATAACCCAGTACAGGCTGGGGATCAACCAGCTGAAAGCAGCCTTGCAGAAAAAGGCCTGGAATCCTGGTAGAGAACAAACTGGACATGAGTCTGCAATGTGCCTTTGCAGCACAGGCTGTGTGAAGTGATCCTTCCCCGTCATCCCTGGCTATGGCCACAGCTGGGTCCTGGTCTGTGCTTCCCAGTACAAGGCAGACATGGACAAACTGGAACAAGTCCAGCAAAGGTGCATAAAGATGGTAAGGGACTGGAGCACCTCTCATATGAGGAGGCTGGGAAAGCTGGGACTGGTCACCTTAGAGAAGGCTCGTGGAAGGATCTCATCAATGTGTATAAACAGCCTAATGAAAAGAGGAAAGAAGATAGAGGCAAGCCCTTTTGAGTGGTGTTTAGTGAAAGTGCAAGAGGCAATCAGCACAAATTCAATGCAAGAAATATTAAAATATACTGATATTTTAGTATTTAAGAAAAATGTTTTTCACAGTGAGGGCAATTGAAGATGGAACAGGTTGCCCAGAGAGGCTGTAGAATCTCCATCCTTGGAGATATTCAAAACCTGACTGAACACAGTCCTGAGCACTCTGCTCTAGCTGGTCCTGACTGAAAGAGTCAGTTGGACCAGACAGTCTTCTGACATTGCTGTCAACACCTCAAATATTCTGTGATTCTGTATAAAACCAGGTTAATTGCCATAAATACTATATTCTACCTTAATCCACTGTATGGTGAAAATCTGAATTATGGAAGGTAAGGAGACCTGTGGGAACTTTACAGAAGCACTACCAAGAAGCTTCAACTGAATACAATGCATTCAGGTTATATAAAACCTTTCTTTTGTAGCAGAACAATAATTAGAAAAACTCAATTATGGTCTTTACAAATATCCATGTAAAGACATTTGTAATTATTTCTGAAGCTAAAATAAATAGCCTCAAAATCCACCAACATGACCCTGCTTCTGGCATCTAAATAAGAATGAATTATCTATTTTTAAAACGTAAAAAACCTGCATTGCTAGAAGTTGAATATCCACCCACCTCTATTCACTGAAAATCCAATCATTAAAAAGGTGTGTGTGGGAAGTCATTCCAGTTGAATGCCTTACCACCATGAAACCAAACCAAACCCAAGGCAATCGTTTGCTCTGTAGTTACTGATGTGCTCTACAGCAGAACCCTTTGCCTCCCCCAACACATTATATTACAATATAATGGATTATACTAAACACCAGTGCACTGAATAGTATAAGAAATTAACAAGGAACTTGTGACCAACCATTTAAAATGTAAACGCTTTAAAATAGTCAAAATCTCAAGTTTAAATTTAGTCAGTAGAGGTGGTATGCATCCTGTAAGCAAGGTCATGACTTAACTAGTGGTCAAACACACTTTACAGGACTGTTACTGAGAGAAGTCCATCCCTCTTCCTCTAAGTCCACTCTAAATCCAAGAATGCATCCTTAAATGGAGAGCTTAAAAACATTACAATAAGTGGAAAAAAACCTTTGGTGCTCAGTGGCTTTGAAAAGTTCCCTGCTAAAGAAAAGAAGTTTTAACCTACAGGAAAGAACACCAGCGAAGTGAAACAAAATTTCACCCTTAAAACCAGATCATTTTAAAATTTAAAATGAGTAACTGTGGATTTAGAAACCTAAACCACAGGCATGTAAATTTTTTTTTTTTTTTAAAAACCAAGCTTTTCATCCTTCCTAAATCAGAGAATCTTGGTGAATAATGCTGTCCCACTGCTATTTTGGTACAGCAACAATGAATCACCTCTATTACTCAACACATCCATTCTTAAGAATGCTGGATTACCATGATTTTTATCAGCACTGGTGTTCTGGCATGAGTGTCTAGCAGAATTATACAGCAGTTGGACCATAAACATGAGAATTTTCTGGGGCACAAATGGGACTCCTGCTGTTCAGTTCCACATAACAATTTCTGGACACTTACCACCTAATGGACTGTAGTTCTGAAACTCATCTCAAATAAAAAGTAGCAGCTACCACACTGAAAAAGTCTCTAAGTCTATATTTGTGGTAAATGTCAATGTGGAGGAAAAATAAAAACCTATCTGGGAACTTGCTAGCAAATTTCAAGTAAAAATGAAAGTTTTTGCTTCAAAATTTTGCTAGTCTCTCCCAGTAATTCTAGTTCAGATGTCATGTCCCTCCTCTCTTCTAAAGCTAAGTGTCTCTAGACTGTTCTCTCCTAGCACATACCAGACATCCTCACCAAGGCAACAGTGATACCCCAGCTAATGACACGTCATGAGAAGCAGGATCTAGATGAGAAACTGAGCAACAGTGAGAGACAGGAGACATACAAACTGTATTTTTATTAAGGGGTTTATGCCTTATTTGACTTCTCATGAAAATACAAAGAATAGTTCTTTTAATGTCAAAGTGTACATTTTAACATGTTTTACCAAGTCTCTGTCAGCACCTTGAATGCACCGAGAGGAACTGTTAATGCTTTCCCCCCATTCCCCTGAACTTGGCAGCTCAAGGTGAGATCTGGCACGGCACAGCTGTGAAACCTTGGGTAAGACTGAGATGAAAATGTTGTGCAAGAGTTGGGAGAATGCTTGTTAAGCACCTTTTCCCTTCATTTGGGACCTATACCAAAGCCTAGACTGAATTTAATGTCAAGTCATATTAATGATATGCCTGTATCTGTCCAGGTACCTCACAGATCTTGAACTCAGAGATTTGACTCCCTGGCTTGATATAGGACTTGGCTCATCAGTACAGAGGCACTTGGAGATCTGAACTCTTGGCTTGACCCTCTTTGCTGTCATTGGACTGCTCTGCTCTCTTTGTTCAGGTATTGTGAGACTGCTCCTTCATGGATGATGCATGCCACTGCCCCCTGACTTCCTTGCTGACAACTCCCAGCTCAGCTCACCTGTGGAGAAGCTCACTTTTCCTTCTCCTTAAGTGTCAAATTCAGTTGTCAAATGAAGAGGAAAAAAAAACCAAATGACTTTTCAGACAGCACTTGATGAAGGTGGGTGGTTCTTTCTACCAATGTTGCTATTAATTCAGCCCAAAAAGTTTTAGAAAAACATGGTATGTTCATATGTGTAAGTATAAAGATCAGTACTCACGCAGAAGTTGTCTGCATATCATGCCAGCTTTTGCTAAAGTTCTGCTTCAGTTCATTCATCAGACTTATGCCAAGTTTTTGTTTAATTTCAACCAGGTGCTTCTCTTTGGCTGCTAGCACTTGCCGCAAAGTTGAAATTTCATCCTCTAGCTGAGGGAAACAAGGAGAAAGGAGTTAGCCCGTTCCCACAGAATGATAAACACATGCAGTGTTAAGAGGCTAAATGAATCTCACAAACTTGTGCTTTTCATAGGTACCTGGAGAGACTGAGTCAAGAACTTGTGGAGGTCACAAAGGCATGCCCAGAACAGAGCTGACACTCTGTTAAATTAATGCCTCTGTGTCACCTATGCTCACCATCACACACATGCATCTGATAAGGGAGAGAATTATCCAGTAAGGAAGCGACTTCACCCAAATCTGCCTTGGAGCATTAGGAGTCTCAAATACCAGCTTTTCATTCACTAGTAAAATGGGAATGGACAGGACAAGAGAAGACTGGAAAATTCAATAAAATATATTTATTTGAATGCACAGGCTTTTAACTTCATACTTGCAGGTTTTTAGTCTTCTGGTCCTGAAAAAAACATATACAAATTCTTAGGAGCAGGTAAAAAAAAATAGAAAAAGCTGCATGATAATATATGACTTGAGAGTACCATCAAATGTAATATCCTTGTCATATGAGTTTTATTTATGTATTTTAGGCCCTTCATATTTCAAAACTGTAACATAAAAATTTATAGTTGAACTATTAATATGAGTGATCAGTACCTAAAGCATAAAAGCACTCAGAAGACAGAGCAGATTCGTTTCTCCAAAGATCCTAGTATTTAACCAAACTGCAATTTCAAGCTGTAAAGAATCCATCCAGCCCAAACAGAGCAATATATTTCTCTCTGCAGTAAACATTTTTTTAAACATTTAATCAAAGCCAGTGTTTTCCAAGGCAAGAACCAGAAGACAGGACTGTAAGAAGAGGGACTTCAGAATGGTCCTGCCCACTGGCTCAGAATCCTGCTCCTTGGGCAGCACTCCTGCAAGTGAGCAGGGCTTTGTGTTCTTCACCTGGAAGCCTCCCAAGCTAATCTACACAAGCAGCACACTAAGATATTGAAGCTAACAAGGGCAAGTGACACCAGAGCAGCTGCCTTTCACTTCAGGTTTAGAAATTCCCCAACCAACTGTGTTCCTTCCTCCATATGTTAGTAAGGTAACATATGGCAACTTATCTGATTACCATATGCTAAGTTCCCTGGAGCCACAGTCTCCCTCTGATTTAACTCCATTGGCTGCAGGGAATGATGCAAGCACCAGCTGAAGCAGTACTGACCTCCAAGGCTATATTTAGGATATCAGCACCAGCATTATTTTATTTTACACATTCATGCATTCTGCCTCACTGTAAAACTGGCTGCAAACTCACTGTTCTTGGTAAAGTCACATCCTTGAATCCCCCAGCTATCAGTTTCTTTTGTCATTACCTGCTATTTCAATATACAAGCAGCTCAGGAATTAAGCAGCAAGGCTATGAACACAGAGCAAAATCATGACCTGAGTGAAGTAGATATTAATATTCACCAATGCCTGTGATGCCAACACCTCACCAGTACTGTTGTTAGATACACAGCAATCCAAATTGCTTTGTTCCTCCCCATGTCCTGTGTGCTCCATTATATTCCTAACCTGCAAACAGAATACTGTCAAGAGGCTCTCTTCTGAGAAAATAAGTGGTTATACGCTTATAGAAAGAAAGCACAAATGTCAGCATTCCTCAGGCAGCAGTTCAGAGCTCCTTTTGGTTCTTTCTCACCAAGAGCAAACCCCTTAGTGCACGACTACCTGTGCAACACTGCTAAAGAGCTTTACTTAAACTGATGCCAGGACACTTATGGGCCAGCACTAGGTTGATCATCAGCTACTTGGATATATAAATATTTCAGGTCTGGTCTTCTATTAAAATTACTTTCCATCTGTTTCATTGAATAGACATCTTAAAGCTGTGATTATCTAAACAAGCATTAGCCTTGTGCTCAATGGCAGAAGTATGAGCAACATTTTTGATTAAAGGAAAGTAATTTATTATTTATAACACAGCAATTAGTTTTGAATTGACAAAATCCTCCTCAACTTCCATCATTTTGAAATAATGACCGATACAAAGCCGCCAGTATCAGTGATGACTCTGAAGTAGGTAGAAAGGATTAGGGACTTACAAGGATCTTGAAAAGCATTTAAGCATGTAACAAACCTAATTCTCATGGAAGTCAGGCATCACTTGTTAAGGAATTTTTTAAGTCCACTTTTGTAAATGCTTATAACTCCATTATAAAACTAGGGCTTCAGTCAACAGAAATACAAGCTTCTAATTACCATGGTTCCCTTCTTTCAAAGTGCAACAGAGTCAGAAGAGTATCGGCACATCATACAGAGACAAAGTTCTCCCATAAGTTTGCAGAAAAAGGTATCATTATAATCTTTCCTCAAACTGGGAACAAACATGCAGTAACACACACTGCTGATGCTGTGCATCAGCTAGATCAAGCCAGATAGCTCCTTCTGGGAAGGTGTGGGAGGGGGAAGACACCAAAGAGTAAATGAGTACTTTGATGAGTGTAATGGAAGGACAACTGACAGCACTGAGCAAGGTAGCTCAAAATGTCAGCCCCCAGCATGACTCAAGAGTCATTGTACAATGCTCCTCACAGTGAGGGGGGCGGGGGGAATCTGTTCTGCTAACAATCTTCTGGCCTTATGTAAAGCTTTTGGGCTACAATTTCCTGCTGTTATTCTGAAAAGTCAGGCTGACCTCTGTAAATTCAAATGACTGTTAGAAGTTTCTGTAAGAGTTACTCAGTTTCATTGTAGAAATCCTAAGGCTTGATTAGAGTCAGAGCCCTGCTGTGTTAGCGAGGCTACAAATACAAGAACAGAGCAAGTCCATGTTCTGAGAAGTTTCCAGTAAAAAGAGATTATTAGCAGGAGAATAGGAATAGAGGACACAAAAAAAATCCTGCTAGAAAAACAGTAGTGCTTGTTCCTCTCCTATTGTCAGAGTGAAAAGGAGGAAGAAAACAAAGAATATACACATTAGATACACAACACAGAGATGAAGCACATATTTTCTGCTTAAATAAATGCACAACAGGTGCTCACAAACAGATCCCCATTTTATCAACTATTGATAGAAGAATTAAGGATGATTTTTACCCCTCAGAACCCCTCTAACAGGACTGTTTGAGCCTGTAGGATCAAACAGTAGGTGCTTGTTCCTACAGGCTTAAAGAGGTATTACTTAGCACATAAGAACATTGAAGAAAACAAAACTATCATTGGTGGAGCAGAAAGGGCTTGCAAGCAAAGACTTACAGATTTGCAAAAGGAAACATTATCCAATTCCCACATTAGCAAATTTTTCTTTGTGAAGGAGGCAATGTCACACATTTTTTTGCAGCCTTTTATAAGTCATAAACCTCATTTAGTTTTAGACTTTGTTCAGACTTTGTTCACTCTACATTGAAGTTTCTCAAACCTTTCTTAGCATAATTATCAGTTTTATTTTGCTTTTAAGCATCAGCTGCATGTCAGTAAACTGCTGTGAGGAATTCAGAAAATAATTCCGAGGTCAGTCAAGATCATAATATTTGACAGGCAATCTCTCACTTGTATGTTAGTACAGGAATTAAAGCATTTCCAGCACAAGCTAACGAGAATTCTCTCTCCTAGGGCGATCAGTAAGCAGAAGGGATACCCAGAAACACTTGAGATTAATTCTGTTGAGAGAGGCATATAATTCTCAGATGATTGCAGGAAGTTCTGGCCTTTTTTCCTTCCTTGTTTCTACCTGCCTCTGAAGTCCCCTTCACCAGAGAAGAGAATCACAGAATGGCTGAGGCTGGAAGGGAGCACTGTAGCACATCTGGTTCAAGCCCTACCTAGAGCATGTTTCCCAGGACTGTACCCAGACAGCTTTTAAATATCTTCAAGGATGGAGACTCCAAAACGTCTTTGGGTACACTGCTCAGTCACATACACATTAAAAACATGCTTCCTGATGTTCAGGGGGAACCAACTGTGTTTCAGTGTGCCCACTGCCTCTAGTCCTCATAAAAAGCCAGTATTGAATACGCCAACTCCTAACTAATTTGATAAACTGAGTATGTAAACTTTCAGCTTCCTTCTGATTATTTACAGATGTGACAGGATCAGCAAAGAAGTAAAAGTTAACTATTAATTCAGAAACACAAAGATTGATAAAATATTTAAGAGAAAAAACAGTCTTCTGTTTCACTTGAAAATCCTGAATCGGCACTGCAGGTAAATTACTTGAAAGTCATTACAGATGTTACCTCTTAGAGTACTTGTAAGTACTTTGTAAGTATTCTAAGTACTACAACTTAATATCAATTTAAGTATTCCAGTTAAGGCAAAACCAACTCCCCACATTCATATGTCTGTGATTTCTGTTATTTGACTTGTATTTCAAAAAAATTAAACCTACAGCTTTCCCCAGTCTCTCATTTTTCATTTCAGAATTTCAATTTACTGCAGTATTCAGCAGTAACAATTAAAACTGAATCCATCCTTCCATGGTAGACCAAATTTAGACAATTTCTTTAGTCTTTGTAATAAAGAGATCATGTGGTTCACACCTTTTTCCTCCCATCTCCTTATTATTTTTAAGCCTCATCATAGTGTCCTGAGTTCCAGACTCCTGAAAAAGGATACTGCCTTCTCAAAACACATCAGTGCTAAAGGAAACAAAATGTGATAAAATTACTGTGCTTTTTATCATCAGCCTCTTCTGTAACCATCATTATTACCTTTTCCTCTGAGCACCACAAAAAGAAATTTTTCTGTCAGGTGGCTCAACCACTGTAACAACAATACCAGATCTAATGAGAACACCTTTCATTCTTTTTCAAGGAACGTTTATAAATAAAGACACATCTTGACTACAATGGGAATGTGCATTTTGACTTTTACAGTACAATCATCAAGTAGAAGATATTTAACCTTCGAAAAATAGGTATATAAGAAAATTAAAAGCTACATTATTGTTGCCTAGAATAATTTTACCAAAAAGGAAAGGCATGCCTTTATGATGTATACTTCATCCTAAAATTAATATTTTCAGTTCAAGGAAGTAGAAACACTAACAGAAATTCAAATTCATTACCTTGGCTAGCTCAGTCTTTAACTCTTCTTTTTCTTCTTCAGAAATCATATTGTTGAAATCAACATCAGTGACCACATCTTCATCTGCTTCATGGAATGGCTGAGTTTCCAACAGGCCTTAAAAAGTTAAAAGGTCAAGACAACCATTATTCATTATTTCAACTATTGTATTGGCCTGCCCTAAAATCCGAGAATGATATAGTATTTACCCACTAGGGAAAAAAAAGAACCAAACAAAGAAAAAACAACTTTTTCCTGCTACAATCATTTGCATTCGCCTTCTCTTCGCTTCTGAAAAGCTATTGGAAGTATCAGAGAGTAGTGTCTGCTCAGGAGCAATTTAATATGTGTAAACACCACTCATTCCCAGAAATTAATCACCTTGGACCCTGCTAATCCCTGATAAGGCATTTTCTTGCTTCTAACAATACAGAAGAAAAAAAGAAGGCTTTTTCCTCAAAATAAGAAAGCTGGCTAATGTGGATCACTGATGCGAAGAGCAGCAATAGTACAGTGAATAATAAAGGAAGTATATTACAGAGCTAAGTTTTCTCTAAAAGTACCTCTGATTGCAGCAACTTGAAACCTTACAGATGCACACAGTTTGCAGAAGTAAATGCCACACCTATTGTTTAAATTTTCTGAATATTAATGAGAAGCATTCCTCGCTTGCTCAATCTAAGCCTGTGAAGGGGGGACAAATACACTGGACTTTGTTACTTTCTTCTGCATGCCCAGGATCAGGGTCAGTATCTATCATAAGCAAGGTAAGTGCATACACAAATGCTTGCAAGACCAGGGCCTGCCTGACATAATAGGTACTAATGAAACAGAATACTTCCTATCTCCCAATCATTCAGTGAAGAGAAGACTGCTGGGGCTCCAGCCACTAAGAGCCACTCATTCTTTACGGTCTGCAGAGAAAACAATGCGAACCATGAGATAACAGAAAACATTCTAGTCACTTTGGAACTTGTTTTAAATTCTAGATCATCTTCTGTTGTGGAACAAAAATGTCCTCCAGGTTACACCTGGGACAGCACTTTCTCCTTTATTTCGGTTCCCCAGCAGGGTAATGAGCCATCTCTGCTGACTCCTGAGACCTGTATACTGCTTAATATGGAAGAGAACAATTTCTTTCCTAGCTCCACAGAGGCCTGTATACTCTATTATACAGAGATTAAAATACAGCTTAGTTAAGTTTGGACATTAAAGAACAGAGGTTACAAGGAACAAGTCTGTTGAGATTGAGTACTTTACATTTTCATGCAGAAAATGAAATTCCCTCCAGCCTTCTGCCATTTCCTTCACCTAGAGTCCCCCAGTGTACCTGTATTTCCTTCTATTTAACAGAACAGAACTGATTCAATTCATACTGTCAACTTCCCTGCAGAACACGATGGAGTGAATTCAGCATTGTTAATTACAATCTTCCCTGAGTGGGAAGATAAAGGGCAGCAACACAGGTGCTGAACCCCTGCTTGGCACCATATGCAGAAATAGATCACCACCCTTAAGCACAAAATGTTTTAAAAACATGATGGCATATAGAAGTAGTTGAAATCTTAGTTATTACCCAAAAAGCAGCTTGCCAGGAAAACCTAGATTGCTGAAGTCAGGACAAAGGAAAGCATATTTATTCAGTAGGAACACTCCCAAATCACCTTCATTAACACCCCTACATCTCTAAACACAATTGTTATTTGGTGTTTGTTTGAGGATTAATAGTGTTGCTATGGGACTCAAGCTAAACTTAGTCTGCACAATCTTGAAAGCAGTCTATTTTTTCATGGATGGAGGAGCAGTGGTACAGGGCAGCTGTTGGAAATGCTGGGAAGGATCTGAGGGGCAACAGCCTTGAAAACCCTTAAGGGAGGCCTTGGGATAGATGTTGAGATGAGGTGATCTCAGACCAACTGATGCTTAAGCTAAAAAGAAGGCAGATCCATGCTCAAGGGACAACAATAGTTTTGGAACAGCTAGGTAAGAGATGGAAGCCAACATGGACAAAATCATCAGAAACAACTGAATAACACTTAACACTTGGCCCAATGGTCAAATTTAAACTTCAAGACTGGACTGAAATTACAATCCATTCCAAAACAACAAATACATATCAATCTTCTCTATGATACTTTGCAAACTCATCCAGTTTCTCTCCCAATTTTTGTCCTTTGCTTCTTGTTTAAGTCCTCTAAAATCTAGTCTGATTCTTCAGTCTCTACCTTCTTGTTCAAGCTATGAGAGTCCTCCATAATGGTCACTGTCCCTCTGCAAATGTTTCACTTTGGCCAGCTGCAGACTGAACATCTCTAGCATTCTGTGGGTCACAGCCTTCTTTAGGCCAGTCTCATTCTGAAACTTCCTCATGTGAGAATACTTAGATTCTAGCAGCAACAATAGCAGAGTGGTTACAATTAGGACATCATAGTTGTAATGGAGCACAGCAGAGGTCAGCATCCACCAGCTCAGACTCACTGTATGAGTTCTCCACAGAAGTTAGAGAGCTCATCAGCCCAGGTGTGCTGATAACCTAACACAGTGCTTTGGAGCCTTGAGTTAGGACTCAAGGATGTTTTGGATCACAGGTGTACCTATTGCTCAGGATTCATGGGTGTCTCTGCACTGTGTGACACTGCAAGGTCTGCAGAACATTTCTTCCAGTCACTGGTTTCTCTCTCTAGATACTGTCATGTCTCACACTTTGGTCTCCAGACTGAAGGAAGTTCTGTGATTCCCTGACCATGCAGGAGATGGAGCAGCCCAGCACCCTCCAGTACAACTGAAGGGATGTAGGCCCACCTACAAGTTCTCATCTCATACAGCCTCAAAGTCCTGGGTGGCCATGGATTAGAAGCATTGAATCATAGAATATTCTGAGTTGGAGGAGACCCACAAGGATCATCAAAGCCCAGCTTGTGACCCTGCACAGACCAAGCCCTAGAGTCATACCGTGTGTTTCAGAGTGTTCAAGCACTTCATGAACTCTGTCAGGCTTGGAGCTGTGACCACTTTCCTGGGAAACCTCTTCAGTGTCCAACCACCCTCTGGGTGAAAAACATTTCCTTAATATCCAGGTTAAAACTCTCCTCCCCCGAAACAGCTTCAGGCTGTTCTGTCAGATCCTGCCCACTGGTCATGAGAGAAGAGATCAGTGTCAGCCTCTACACTTCCCTCATGAAAAAGTTGTAGACTGCTATGAGGTCTTCTCTCAGAATTGAAGAAGACTGAGGCATTTTCCTCTCCTGCCCAGCTACATAACCTGACAACACACAGGAACTGCTAAAGATTCATAGGCATTAGTTATGAGCCATGAAGGCTTGATCACTCTGGGAAGGGAGTTGTACAAGTAGCTGAGTTGTTTTCAAGATTAACATAAAGTCATTGGTAGCAGGAAAAAAAATTGCCTTCAAGTTGCATTTCCTTTCCTCTTACCTACTCCTCCCAGAAATACTGAAGATCATGCCTGCTCCCAGCTGTTGTCAGATCTGGAAAATCTGGGATTGTGATTAAATTGTCGTTAATTGTTCAGATGCAGAGCTGCTGTTAATTCAGAATTGAACTAATATCCAGGTGTGGAATTGGAAATTAACTTTCCATCCTTTTAGAAGAACAATTCAGTTGTTGGATGGTTGAATAACTTCTGCTTTACTTTGTAGTATAGGTGTTATAAGCTTCCCTGAATGAATTAGGAGCTCATCCAGTACTTTACCAGCCATTTACAAGAACCTGTGGCTTTGGTGATGTCCTGTATCTCTTATGTCCCTTACTAACAGCACAGTATTTCAGGCATTGACCTCCACATATTGATCTAAAGTACAGGTTTTCCAAGTTTCATTCAAGCAGGCCACTAACAGGTAAGGCATGAGGACAGAGCCTAGACACAACCACTAACTAACATCTGTTTTCTCCTCCTACTATGTCTTATACAGATTAACTTAACTGAATTTAAATTCAGTTGCTGTGCCTGCCCTATTATACTATTATATTATTATAAGCAGCTCTATTATACTAAAAGAAAAAATGGAACAGAATGGAACAGAAGCTGTCTTAGAACCTGTTCCTTGAACTTCCCCTCCCTCATTCTCCATGGTCAGCTAAGGAGTTCTCATTACTTATCCCCTTCTCTCCACTTCTCCATTTGCAATGAAGCTCAATCCAGAGCTTAATCAATTAATCAGCAATGAGCTCTGGGATATGCTGTCACAAGAGTCTGCCCAGAGACAGATGCAAGACCCAGCCCACCTCCCTCATTATCTCTTCCAGACAGCCTTGTCTTCTGGTTTAGGATTGCTGGAGACAAAACTGCATGTTTCTATAGTCTCATACTATATTTGCTATACTATTTGCTGTTGCTACAGCAAATTACACTAATAATATACTAATGTGTAACTCATTTATCCTCCACAAACAGGCAAACTAGTGATTTTCTAGACATATGTTACTTCAAAATAACAAAAAACCCCACCCCCATAAAGTGTGGGAAATCATAAAATAGGTTGTAATCAATGCAAAAGACTGTTTGGCTTCTAGTTTAAAGAAGGTTTTAGTACTTACTGTCACATATATCATTAGATAAAATATGAATGAAACATTAAAAGTATGGGATTATCAGCAAATAGGAACTGCAAGTCATACAGAAGGGCCCAACTTGAAACAAATGAGCAGAAAACCCTTTCTATTAGGAGACTTATATAGAAAGAAGTAGGAGGAGGTGAATAGCTGGGGAAGCCCATTTATTGTCTTCTTTTGCAAGATTCCTACGACAAAATAATACAACAACCACTGAAGTAGTTCCAGTGTGCTGAAATGGGCATTTTTGATTTTCTCCCAAAGCTCATGGTAGCTGTGGCTAATACTAGTGACCCTAATTCTACAGTCTGCTGTTAGATCTGATTTAATGCAAGAAACTGTTTCAGCATTGATCAATACCTGTGCATATGTTTGCCAGTAGGATTGTAGGGATGACAAATTTAATATGCCATTTAGAATCTAGAAGATCTGTAACTATTCTACAGAATTTAAAATAACCAAATAATACAATGATAAAATCCATAACAGATTTTTTTTACTTACTCAGGTATCTAAAGATTAACAACATAAAGATGCTTTAGTTA